ACAGACCATGTAACCTTAACCCTTAAAGGCTTAAATACCTGTTCGGTACTATCGTTCAAGAAAGGCTGCGTCCGAATTGGTTCCCGATAAATACTTTTGAAGGAGGCGAATGCAATCTAATAATATTATTTAAAATTAATAAAACATATTTCCCATCATTATAATATACAGGTGTATATATAAAGTAAATTAAATAAATAGATGAGAAAAAATGTGTATAAAATTACAATATTAAATATATATTTTGATTTATTTTGAAACAAAAAAATACAATTTGTAAACATAATATTTAGACAGCCCTAAGTCTGTATAAAATGGGAAGGAAAATTAAATAAAATGCTTTTAAAATAATCTAGGAACCAATTCGGATATATCCTTTGTAAGTTTGTAACACATTTTGATACACTGCCAATTTTAACTCAGACTTATACGTATATAACTTGTTTTATGAAAACCATTTCATAGGGAAAAGAACGACTTAAACTAATATAAAATAATATTTCAGACAACTTCTTTTCTTTTTATGGTGAAAATTTGGTTTCTTAACTATAGCCTTCTTTAACTTACAGGGTTTTTATGCTCGAAACGGGTTATTTTATAACATGATATCGTAATTACGCAACAATTAACAATGGTATACCTACTGACTATTATAGTCATGAGAAGCGGTTTTGAGTCATTATTTAAATAGATTTAATTTTATTTTATTCTTTCGCAAAATGTCATTAAAATTGCCTATTTAAAACCCCTTAAAACGTGTTTATATCTATGATAGTATCAGAGTTTGTTGTTGATGTATAACGCATTATAACTTATACGTATTTAATGAATATTGTGATATGATTAATTTGTAATTTATTATAGGTACCTATTTTAGGTCGATTTTTTTTTAAACCATGGATAAGGTTATAATATGTCCTATACCTATAGTGACATACCGTCTCCGCTCATAATCGTTTTTCTTATATTCAAATTTAATACCATCCATTATACAGTGACCCCACTTGTAACCTACTGTACACTGTACAGCATAGCACCTTTTTTAAAATGATGTATGTTTTTTGTAATTTCGTAATTTTTTTTAAACATTTAACTTTTGTGTCTCGTCACCATTTGGGGCAGTAACACTGTTTCGATTTTCTTCAAAAGTATCTTGTTTGATGGGAAAGTGACTCTAGTTGGTGCATTCGGGAGATCAAAATTTGAAATTGTCAAAAACGGAAAAACGGTAATGTTTACCCAAAATCAGTTTTCAAGCGCCTTACCTCTAAATGTGTCAGAAAATTGGTCACCCGGGGCAAACGCCCCCGTTGCCCCTCCCTTAAATACGGTCCTGATGATAATAGGGCAATCCAAATCCAGGCTCATAATGAGGGTTATATTTAAGAAAATTGTATTTTATTGTGCATGTATGTAGATATATATATATTTTGAATATAGATTATACTATAATATGTATTTAACGAACAGAATAATGGAAAAAATATATGGTCACTCAGCCGAAAAAATGTATTTCCATATAAGTTGTACGCACAATAAAATTATTTACCCGACACTTTTTTAGGCTTCTGGGAATTAATTTTTAACTTTAACCTGTCAAATGCACAACCATATTCATTTTTCCATCAGAAAAGATGCTGATGTCGGAAATTGGAGCTTTTTTACTACCCCGAATGTTTGATTTCAGGAAAAAACACACATCATTGTAAATACAACACATTCATTCGCTTCGCTCAAAATCTAAAAATAAGTTGTATCATTTATTTTTATTGTAAATTGTAATAGTTTGAATTATAAATTATTTTGTGTATAATAAAATAAGTACAACACAATTATTTACATCTAAGGTGTGAAATTAACATAAAATATTGCAACAAGTAAATGTTTTATGTAAATAACACAATCAATTGTATATTCATGTTTGCTTTGTGAATGTCTTATAGATTTAATATGAGACTTAAACATGATAAACTTAGTATGTATAATAAACAATACTAACTGACAAAACAAAATTGTTCACTACATCAGACAAAGCACAACAAAAACAAAAAATAGTTGTGAAAACATAAATGATTTAAGCACTATTGTGTATGAATATTTTAAGACATCAAAAAAAATGTACACTAACACTCAACGATTAACTATAATGTAGTTACAATTAGTAATACAGTAATAAATATTAAACAATTTGTATACTACACATATTAAGTACCTTTTGCATGATAAGAACCATTTTGTAAGATACAATATAGTAAATAATAATAGAAGAGTTCAACCATTATGAACACGTCTTATCACATTGTATAGTAAACCTACATACCATGTATCAACGTTATATTCATTATAGTAGGAAATATTTTTATATTAGATTTACAACAAATTTTCTTGATTTAGACATATTAATTTGTGATTTATGAATATTGTTAAATGCCTATTTAAAAAACTATTATTGCCCTCCAACAATCATAAATAATTTTCACTGGAAATCATATAAAATAAATATTTTTCACAATTATTAGTTTAAATGTATTTTATAACAAATAATTAAATTATTATAACTATTGTTTTTTTTTTTTTTTTAATAAAAGTGCTCAGATATAATACCAAATTAAAAAATTAACAACTGTTGTTGGACCTTAAATTCAACAGTTAAAAACAAAAAATAATACAACATTTTTTTTTTTTATATATAGTTTTAATTAAAAATGAAATTTAAGTATAATTTAAAAAAAATACATAATAAATTTAGGTACCTATAAAAAATAAGAAAAAATTATACATGTAATTCAGTTGGACAAAAATGATTTTCTATGAAAAAAAATTAATACATACATACAAATAAATTGTTAGTTGTATACAGCAGATGATGTTTAGGAGACGAAAGATGGGGTTTTCGAGAAAATTTATCAAATAATTGATACATGGAATATAAAAAAAAACACATTAGTATATTATTGTGTTTTTTTTTAAAAATCTATCTCACGGATCACGTAGATTTTACTTTCTTGAATACACTATCCCAAAACGATTTCCACGTGTCTAGCACATTTTTAGCGTATTGCTGTACAGTTGGATTTGCTTTAACCCATTTGTATGATTTAATAGATGCTTCAATACTGGTATGGACTGCCTGATCAAAAGAATTCCCAGCTTGTAGCAGATAATAGTTGACTTTAGAAGCTACTTTTGGGTCTAGATTTGATGTGGCTGATCCCCAAACAGGCAAAAGTTTAGCTTTGACATTACCATATGCTTTCTTGTCATAGTATGACAAGGCATATAAAGATAAACCGGTCAACACCGCAAACAAAAGTGTGTACGAAATGAGCATGCCGAAAAATCCAAAAACTAAACAAATAAAATTATACTTAGTACAAGAAGACATATTAAATTATGTAATAAAAAAATACCTTTAGATACAAAACCAGCTGGTTTCTTTTTGGGTTTGGTTTTATTCTTTGACTTATCATTTTGTACACCATTTGGCGAAGCTTTGGTATTTTTCTTATCCTTCTTTTTATTTTGTTTGTCATCTAAGCAAAAAGAAAGTTTTCAAACCTGCATGTGTGTAAAACTAACAAGACTACTAGAGTATAATATCGAAAACCATTACCTTGCTTTTTGGAATCGCCCTTCAAATACTGAATAGCGTTGGCAGCTGCTGACTGGCATTGTGCGTTGTTTTGTGATGGTCCAACTGCTTCAACCAGTTCTGGTTTCAACGGATTGTTGCTCAAGTTCAAGTGTTTCAACTGTTTGAGTTTACCTAAGCCCTTGGGTAGATCTTTGATTTTGTTGTTGGCTAACGACAGGAAAGCAAGTTTTTGCAATGAACCAATATCACCGGCCACACTCTTAATCTGATTGCCGGATAGATCGAGCTTCACCAGACTGGGCAATAATGAAAAAACATTCTGCAAACATTCAATTATAAAGGTATAATATATATTATAGATATGTGAATTATGACATATAAATAAAACCATTACTGACAAAGTACTATCAATGGCAACGAGCACTTACGTCTGTTGAAGTGATTTTGTTGTTGGACAAGTCTAGATGAGAGACTTTCAGCGGAGCCTAGAAAAAGATTACGCAACGATTAGGACGTACATTGGGGTTTGCCTTGTTGGCCAAAAGTTCGTTTGTAGGTTAATGCGAGACGGCGGTGTTGGCATATTGTCGAGAGATGCTCAACGCACATCTAGCCGGACGAAGGCAACACTTACGATTTCCTTGGTGGGTATCTCCGTCAGGTTGAGACCGCTCAAGTTCAGCTTGTTGTTTTTCACCCTGTCCTTAATGTTGACCACGGTCATTTTTGGTCGTTGGTGGGTAGGTGGTTGTAGACTCGCGTGCGATATGTGCAGGTACGTCTGTTTACGTACTTGAGCTGCAGTATTATTTGACTACGACTGTGGCCGGTGCAAGACGCACGGTTACCGTTATTGCAGTCGTGTCGTGACGTTGAACAAGCACAAAACCGTCGCGAAGCCGCAGAGCGTGTGGGTCACGGGTTCGTCGGACGCAGCGGTGAGCCGTAAAGTGGAGAGAAAAAAAAATCAAATTGTAAACACACTGGATTTCCGATACACGTATATCAGTGTTGGTTTGACACGTGTCAAGAGTGCCAACATTGCGCGTTCCCACCGGTGTCCGCCGGGTTGGTGTCGTTGGTTCGAAGGTGGTGATGCCTTGAAGGGTTGTGGTGGGGGGAAGGCGGCGTGCACGACTACCACGTCGGCGGAGAACGGACGTTATTACTTATTTAATTTTCCTGCCGGCCGACAGTATCGGCGCGCGTACAATCTTTTTTCTATCGTCGTCGACAATCGGATAATCGAATTGCCACGTTCCTAAATGTCTATCCCAAACATAGGTACAAAAAAAACAAACCAAAACCATCAATATAAGATGACATAATATTATGTAAATTATTTCGCCTTAAAACCTAATAAAAACTAAAAAATTATAACTGATCTCCAGATTTTCTTTAACATTTATAATAGCAAGCCTTAGTGCCACGTTTCTCGATCCTGAGTCCCCCGAGTCCCCTGAGTTTACTGGATATTACGTTAAATATAATTACATGTCTGATGTCTATTAAGTACTCAATTGTAGTATAAAATATTGTAATATAATAAACATTATATAAATTATTATATTATAATTTACGTATATTACAGGATTGGTTAAACATTTCGGCCCTGGAAATTACTATGTGACTGGCTCACCGAAAATATAATAATTAATAATAATTTTTCATTAACGATTTTTTTTTTTTTTTTGGAATTTTCTTATTTAAAATTAAATTTAATATAATATAGGTACGTAAGTACGTTTAACATATGAGTACATAACTTTTGTTTATGATCACTCAAATTATCAACTAGATTCACTTTCCTACCAGAAAAGATGTAGAAATAGTAAATAAATTCATTTTTACTGCCTCAAAAAGTGATGACAATCATATTTTTTATTTTAAAACACGTCTTTACAAAATCAATACATTCATCGCTCCGCTCGGAATATAAAATATTGAAAAAAATTTTATAAAATTATTTTCTAATATTAGGTATGTTCTACGTTTGTAGAACGAATAACGACCACTGCATAATATGCGGCTGTATTGCTGTAACGTCCTGCTATGAAATATGAATATTATTTTATTAATAACACAGAGCCACAGTAGTATTATATTATAATTATATATAATAGGTACCTAGGTCTGATCAATAATTATTTTATCGAGCTCGTAATATGCCAGTACTCAGCCATTTTACATTTATACATTAGATCTATAAGCTAATGGACGGCGCTTCCCACACCGCTCTGCCATGGTTAATCCAGGCGACATAACTGAGAGAGGAAAAAACATAACATATGAGCATAATAATGACTATATGAGAGAGAAAAAACATGTTTTGGGCTATATGTTTTAACACACTGTAACGGCCCAAAACCACTCTTTTCTCTTTCAACAATCCCTTCTGATGATTTCTCTCTATATGCGCTGTCTATTACTTATTAGCTTATACTTCACATGTTTATGTACTCCAGTGGCGTGTTGAACTCCTTTTTGGTGAGGAGCAAAAATGTATACAAGGTACCCACCCACCCACCCACGATGTTTGTAACGGCATTTCCGACATAGGTAGCAAAAAAGTTCAAATTAAAAATTTTTACAAAATTTTCCTACATTTGTAACGATTTGTATTGTCGGATATGATATTTCTACTATATTCATAGTCACCTAGGCGGCTAGGTATTTTGTGGCAGGAAGCACACCCACAAACCAACAATTTTTAAGGAGCAATTGGTCCAAAATAATACCTTCGACACGTGGCGGATGTACTCAGCCAAAGCTTGGTACATCTTTACCTATCTTGGCCGTTGTACACTATTCATTCGGCACTCGTAGTATGCAAGACGTACCTACACAATAGTTTTCCTGTACTATAGTATGCTATAGTGTTGTATAAATGATACAATTTTGGCCAGTACTGTGTCCGTATGGCAGTGTTTCCCAACTCAATACTATACTTGGGCACGGACCACTTTTGTAAATTTTACACTGTCAAGGACCGAGACTTAAATTTTCCCACTATACTTTTATTGTCTATTCTATATACCATATCTTGTATTTATAAGTACATAATAAAAATGAGAACCACCAGTTTTGATTTGGGAACCACTACCGTAAGGGCTAGCCAACTGTTGAGTAGCCAGTACAGGTGCATTATTGCGCGCTTTGTGAGGTCGGGGTAAGATATAAATTTCCGATTGGGATGTTGACGGTTTAAAATTAATTCATCTATAACTACTTAATGCAGCCAAAATGACATTCAAAATCATGATACGAGTATACGATAACAAACAACGTAGACACGCAGTTAATATTATCAAATAATTTGTAATCCAAAAGGGCAAAAGTACATCTGGCCAGAGTTTTAATATGAGCATCAGCAAAGTTTTCCGGTTTCTCGGTGGGCCAATCCGCCGCTAGCATACACATAATATTATTTTAATACCTATAGAAATGATTGTAGACTTTAATTGATAACCGATTGTTTCTTATTGTATTTACTTTTTAGTTTTACCAATTATTTTTATATTTTTATAGATAACCGAATTTTAACTTGACCATAGATATATGATATTGAATAATTTAATAATAAAAACTTATTTATTGTGATCGTAAAACAAAAATCATTGTAAAGTGTATGCCTAGGAATAGGTAGTATACAATAATTGAATAATATGAGACCTACAATCCTTAGATATAAAATTTGATCATTTTATACATTTTTAACAACAAAATAATTATTCAATTTTAAATTTGATAAATTTTGTTAAAATTCGATCTTTAAATACTTAAAAAAAAATTGTGCCTATGTATTTTAAATATTTTTCAATTGCTATTGTAACAATATATCAGGAGCCTTGTATAAAATATTTACACTTTTTGGCCCAACAGATAAAACTTCATTGATATTTATAGAAAAAAAACCTAAAAAAATTTAAATCTGACAACGTCCGTAAACAGCTCAAAGAGTCAAAATATTTTCAAAATTGTATGGTGTATAGGAAATGCTAATATACACATTCAGTGAAATTTTCATGTATCTACAGTTATTCGTTTTTGAATTGCAACAAAATAAAGAAATCGCTACATGAGAAATCGAGTGAATATCCAATGTTGTAAAAATTTGAATTTCAAACTCTCATAAAAATTTAATTTGACTTTCTTATAGACATTTTTTTTTTTTTTGATAAAGGTAGACAAACTTATAAGGAAGCTTGTATTACATTTTAATATCTTAGGTTTAAAAAGAAAAATTTTTACGAATTCTTAACTCAAAATAATTTGCTAACTTTCGTGATTTTTCCATATTTTGTCAATTTTTGAACTTTAAATTCTTATAAAAAAAAAACTGTGACCAAGGATTTTTAATATTTTTCATCTGCCTTTGAAACAACATATTAGGAGCCTTCTATTAAATTTTCAAGCTTTCGCAACCAACAAATAAAATTTTATTGATATTTTTAGAAAAAAAACTAAAAAAAAATGGAAAATGAAAATGTCCCTAAACAGTTCAAAACCAATCATAATATTTTGAAAATGTTATCGTGTATAGAAAATGCAAATATAAACAACCAGTAAAAATTTCATGTATATACGTTCATTTCTTTTAGGGTTACACCAAAAACCAAAATCGATTTTTTGGAAAACCGATTTTGCTAAAAAATTCCCGTTTTTCCTTAATTTTTATGTTGTTTTTCCCGGCGCTTGTGAAAACTACTGGGAAATTTATACTTTTGACTCCCCAAAGTTTAGAGTAAATGCAAATATAAACAACCAGTGAAAATGTCATGTATATATGTTCATTTGTTTTAGAGTCATACAATTTAAACTCAACTAATGAACTTAATACATAGGTTATAGGTATGAATATAGTATGAATTATGATACTATTGTTATTTGTTATACCGTTATTTTACTGTTTTAACTGCTGTAGTGCTGTATAGTCGTATAAATAATCTTGACAATTTATTAAAACCACAATTACATACATTTTGGTATCTTATGTCAGTTTTTAAAACTTATAAGTTTAATAATTTAACTATAATTATTATTTATTATAGAATTAGATTCTATTTAGCTACAAGATTTAATCACATATATAATAGAAGTTGTGTACATTTTTCATAAAAGTATATTTTTTTTTTGATATTTAGATAAGTGTAAAATATTAAATAATAATATCAAAATGATTTCATCGAGAAAAAATCTTATATGTTCTTACAGTCATCAGGGTAGGGGACAAGAGACCATGGGCCAGGGGCTCAAATTTCATTACTAGGTACTTAACTATCTTATCCTTATGTAAAACATTTTTCACGTAATATTTATAATGAAACGTGAAAATGTATATTTATTTTAACAACCAACTATAGGTAATTATGATTATTATTAGCTTATATGTATTATTTTATAACTTATAACTATATAGTATATATAATAATATGTCCATATAAGAGCAGTTGATAGACGTTGTTCTAATTTAGGAAAAACGTAAGCCAAATCAAACTATTTATAATATGTAATATACTAATATGTATAGATCTTGAGAATTGAGACGACAACAAACCAACTTAGACAATATAAAAACTATCTGAGCGGTGTGGCTGATAATACATTACCCATTGGCCATTCCCTAGTCGATTGATGATTATTGAATATGACGATTATGTATAATGTTATGCTTGTTTGTCTTGCTATAATGATTATTACGAATAAATTATGATAGGTATCATG